TGGTTGTTTGTTTTTGTTTGTTTGTTTTGGAGGGGGTTGGGGCGATATGCTGTTGTGTTTTTTCAGCGAGGTCAAGTATCTTGGCAAAATCTTTTCGGAAGACGACTTCACAACAGGGAAATAGAGATAGGAGTTCAAAAGGCTCACAGCGTCAGCTACCAGCTTGTCCCTCTTCTCAAACATCCTATCTAAAATCCCCTTTGAGACTAAAGCCAAGCTCCTTGAATCTATCTTCATCCCCACCTTGGCCCACCAATGCCAGACATGGACCTAGCCCAAAAGTCTGGAACGTAAGATAACCACCTGAGAAGTGAGATGTCTGAGAAGAACCGTCAACAAAACCAGTTGGGGCATGATCAGAAACAACAGGATCAAAGAAATGATGGAAATAAAACCTGTCCTCCACTACACCCAGAGGCAAGCAATTAGGTGGTTTAGACATCTGACCCGCATGGCACCTTGCCAACATCCCACCCAGCCAGAAAGCTCTTTCTCCCCTCGAGGCCCTGGGTGGTGCAAGGGGATGGATAAAGTAAGTAAAGCAAATAAGTTGTGTGTGCGTGGGGGAGGGGGGTTGTTGCTTTTTGTGGGTTTGTGTGCTGTTTGTTGTTTTTTTGTTGTTGCTGTTGTTGTTGTTTTTGTGTGTGTGTGTGTGTGTGTGTGTGTGTGTGTGTGTGTGTGTGTTTGTTTGTTTTTGGTGGGGTTTTTTGTTTGTTTTTTTAGGGGGGGGCGATAATTTCTTCTTAAAACAGGGGACATTATTAGTTTTAACTTACACAAGGTAATTGCAGTTTGTTTGTTTCTACTTGGACCAGGGGACTGTAGTGTATTTATAACAAAGGACATTAAGGGGTACTTAAATTGTACAGGTTTAACGTCCCTATCAACACTATTAAGCTATTTAAGAGGCGGGACCTCAGAGTTAATCGTCAATCTCCGAAAGGAACGAGCCAAATAGGAAGTTCGTGTAAAGTGTCTCTTTCAAGAAGACAACGTTGGACCAAGTTGAGACTCGAACCTCCAGACCTGCAGTCTCACGATTACGGGTCCGGTATCCTATCCACTAGGCTACTGACGCCACACACGAGAGGGGTTTAGTAACTAAACCATGAACTATATGCAATAGTACATTTATTTCAACTAACACCAAGGTACGAAAGTTTGATTCAACTTACACCACTGAAACAGAGTGCTGAAAACCGTCGTCCATGGCAGCTGCTAATCCAGAACCACACTAGACATGAAGGGCACAGTTGTGGAGGTCAGAAGCAGGGGGTACACAGCCCATTTCCTCACAGAGCAGTAGGCTGTAATAGTTACGATGATGAGTGTAAGTGTACCCTTTTAAAAAGAATTACATAATAACAATATGAA